TTAAATAATTTTCGTTGACAAAATTGATTTTTTCATGATTAGGTAAAGACGTCGAATCGACGAATAATTATTTTCAAATTTACATATTTATAAGCGTTCATTATAGAATTTTGTACATTTGTTATTAATAACATTACATATTATATAAATTCAAATTACGTACTTTTTTTAACGTAAATTTAAAAAAAGATGTATTCTTAAATTAGTGCAACTTTAATATCCATTGATATAAGCAATGAAAGACGATTGTGGATAAAAACTTATATATCACAAATAATGAATTACCTTAATAAATATTAAGGGACAAAATTACTTGTACAATTATTTTTTCAAGATTGCAAGAATTTAATATAATTGCTCATTTATAATAAATGTGCTAAAATTATTAATATACGATATTATCGTCTTTTAATAATACGATGGAGTATCGTAAGTTTTATTTGTAAGCTTAAATTTTATTGAAATTCAGGAGTATTGAAGGCCATTTCTGTATATTGCACTCTGTTTCTCTCTCTCTCTCTCTCTCTCTCTCTCTCTGTGTGTGTGTCTCTGTCTCCGTCTCTTTAGATTTAGTTAAGGAAAATTGCATATTATAATTTATTCGAAAGTGACGAGTAGAAGGACTTTAGGGCTTCTGTTAGCACATTAAATTGACAATATTGGATTCGTAGAAAAATATTTTAGATATGTTTTAAAAATGACTTGTCCTCTGATAATATTTTCTATTTAACGTGACGTACGAATGTTAATTCCGTTATTTAGGGGATTTATTTATAAGCCTTCGATAAAATATTATACAGAATATTGCTTACTACATAATGTAAATTGTAATTTGAAATTCATATTAAGCATTAACATTTTTATTAACTAAAAAATAAAAAAGAATTAACTGCCAGTTTCTTCAGTTTTTCACAACGCAATTAATCAACAACATTGTTATTACATAATAATGTTAAAAAAGTACATTATTCTTTAATTGATTTTATATTTTTGTATATGTACATTAAAATAATGAAGATATTTATATTCTCCTTTTGATGCTCTTTCTCGGCCTTCTTTATGAGTTACAACGACATTCAATCTTGCGTTCTCTCTTCTTTCGTTCATTCTTTTTTTGCGTACATCAACATTTTCACATTTTTATCACCAATCTTCGGAAACGATAACAAAAAAGAAGGAACGGAAAAATTAAATCCACGCATTGTTATTCTAAGAGACTCTTATTCTCATTTATACGCATTGGGAATCGAAAATTTTGCAATCTACATGAATACGCTCCAATGTTTTTCTTAGTTTTCCCATATCTTTTTCCATATGCTGTCTCCAGCTACAGACTCTCTTCTCAAGAATTTCAGTTCTCTAAATATAAATTTGCTTTTTACCGCCAGTCTCCCGATTGCCGATCCATTGACAAAGACGGAAAAAAGAAGTTTAGAAATTCGATGATAATCGAGACTGAAGCCGCTCACAATAATTTTTTATTAATGCAATATTTTTAATCGAGTTGGACGTATGATCGGACAATTTTTATACAATGTCGTAGGAGGTCCTTACGAAGCTACATTTTTGCATGAATTTCGCCTCTCTCCTCCACCTGCTTCATGCTGTGCGAACATATAAATTTCTTTTAGCTGTTTCTCTAACTCGTTGTCTTAATGATTTTGACTTGAGTTTATGATCGTTTTTGATTTCAAGACAATTCACACTGAAACTAACAATGTATTCGTGACACTGGACATGTTGCATACATGTTTATTGTATGTCAATGTCTTCGCTTGAATAATTCTTCAAGATAATTATAAAGAATATTCAATGAATTACGTTATTAGAATATTTAGCAATTTCTCTTTGTTGGTTGTGCGATTTAATTATGAAAGATTTATAATCAAGGATCGGACAATTATTCCTTAACAAATAGTTGGTTATACGCACTAATTAGTGGAAGAACGAGCTGTTATTTTTCTATTCTGTTAGGCTGTTGAATTGAGCTTGTAATTTTTAGGGTTGTTAAATTATTTTTTTATATTTAATTAGAATTTAATTTTTATAAAAATTTAAATATGTGAAATGAATAGATAGATCTTTATCTGTTATAGCTGTTTAATTGGAAAATGTCGCAGTGACATTAATATATTAAAATATATTTGGCTTAAATGAAAGTTTCGTATAGTATTTCTACCTGAGTCGAATAAATTACACGTAATGTGCTATGTTTACACAAGCAGCTAAGGAAAATTTGCTTAAGTGATTGAAAAGTTTTATTCCAGTGATCAAGTAGATACCGCTGAAAGTATTTTTTATAACACTTTTGTAGATAGTATTTTACTGATAAGTTTGCATATATATATATATATATATATATATGTGTGTGTGTGTGCGTGTGTGCGTGTGTGTGTCTGTGTGTATGTTTGTGTGCGCGCGCGCGCGCGTATTCATTTATGTATATGTATTGTAATTAAGTATTTATTACATTCGGTCTTCGTACAATACTTGTCACAATTCATTTTATCTTTAATATATATTTACTAATTTATCCGTTATATTAACAAACTATTTAATTTTTAGAGAACAAATTTTGAACAAATTGAATAACGAATGACTTATTTAGAGCTCGTTTACAATATAATTCATTAAAATGTTTAATGCATAGTTAACATAAATCCAAAGGGGATTCATAAAAATATTCTCCGAGGTTAAAACCCTCTGTTTGGCCTTCACCTCTTCCCGACTCCTCAGTTCAGATGTTTCACTAGCTTCGAAAACAAAATAATTTCTTACTCATAATATTCCTATTTAATGAAAAATCATTTACGCCAAATTAACTTACGATGAAGTATATATTCATAAACCAATGTGTATTATAATGTTATTTCCAACATTTTAATTATCATGAAAGCCAATAAAAGTTGTATTCGAATTGTACTTCAGTATCAGATGTCTGTTTATACGTAATTTCCAAATGCGTACTATATTATTTTAAAATTCATTTATCGTTTGTTATATAATTGCATGGTTCAACGTGCGGTCATAAAAAGCATGCGGCTCATTCAACGATTCTTTACAATTGAATCGTAAACACCGATTTATAAAAAAAATGATACCATTACACTAAGGCGAATTGGGTTACACACGCATGAATAAATACGTACACGCATTCGATCATGCATACGTTTACACACGCGCTCGCGCACGCACACGCACACACGCAGAGACACACACACACAGACCACACATGTATACGTGAAAGATATTTATATAAAAGTACAAGCACGCGTTTGTGTTGTGACGAAAGGTATAGAAGATATATAAGATTGAATTTGATTTGCAGAAGAATCATATCTTATATTTATTATCCGATATTTTATGGCCTTGCATAAAGAATATAAATATAGGTTTCGGATTTACGGTATTTCAGTATTAAATACAGAATAATTCAGGAATCAGTGATGGATACGCAGACGAACGCGACGTCTCGACCGGCACGAGGACGTACCGTTCGTTCCTCCATCTCCGATTCTCTCACTTTTCTCTACTCTTCACTGTCTCGCGTCATTTGGCAGTCTCCTCGCGCCCCTCCCCCCTTCTCCTCACCCCAGCATTGAAGCTCCTCTCTTTGCATTTCCTCGCGTCCCTCAATTATTAATAGAATATGCATTTCGGGAGTAAAGTCGCCCGAAGTAGCTCCGTGCCGTGGTCTCTCTACGTCGGCTATGACCTGCGACTTCTTTCCCGACTTTCAGTTTATCCCGGGGCGCCGCCTTCTTGCATTTTTCAGCTCGATAGACGCTTTCTATGTCGTCGCTACTAATACGTCCGAGCCTGACGGTTTCGCACGACAGCGAATTTTTCCACTTGGTTCTATACACCGACTGGCAAATTTTCCCTTTTTTTCCTTTTTTCATTTTTTCCTTCTTTTCCTTTTATCATTTTTTTCACTTTTTTCACTTTTTTCACTTTTTTCACTTTTTTCACTTTTTTCACTTTTTTCACTTTTTTCACTTTTTTCACTTTTTTCACTTTTTTCACTTTTTTCACTTTTTTCACTTTTTTCACACTTTTTTTTTTTTTCATATTTAGAGAACAATGTGTGCTTCGAGCATTACAAAACTATATTTGCTCAATTTTGTTTTTTGTCAATTCACATCATATATAGCAAAGATCTAATGGACTTGCTTGTCCAATATTTCGCAGTAGCAGCGATCATTCTCGCATTTATTTCATAATTGTTTTCCATTTTTTGCAAAATTTCATTCGTGAGGTTAATAAATAAGATTAACCATTCAATTAATTAAATTATAAAGTATTACATAAAAAAGGGAAGCGCAACCGGACGAATAATATTCGTATGCAATGTATCATAAACATAGCTTTCTCTATTAATTTAATTTATTTGCTTATTTATTTATTTATGTATTTATTTATTTATTTTTAAGAAATGTAAGCTTTGAACGGCTGTAACGTAAGCGCGCAAGCCGGATTTCTCAATCGCTGAGAAATTTATATTTGCATCAAATGTAAGATTCAATAATACTCTTAATACATAAATTTGCTTACAATAAAGAAATTATTTTTCCTCGCCGTGAACTGCAAATCTCATTATTATATATGTGACCATGTTAATTCGTCGTTTATTTTCGCTGATCCATAAGCGTACTTTCTATTAAAGCACCGAAATAAAAGAAATAATGTATGTTGAACGTACGCTAATAATACACGTTGATCTTTTCAATAAATATAGAACGTATTTAATAATATACAACATACGTCTTTTATTTATCCTATCGTAGGTAAAATACAAATTTTTATGAAATCGATTGCCAATACATACTGGAACTTTGTTATTCAAACACGTTCCTCTTGTTATTATTTCTCGTTATTTTATAGCGGAACACGCGCGCGCGCGCACACACACGCATATATATATATATATCAATGTAAATTAACAAATACTACTTTCATTGTTAACAAAGGTTGTAATAATTTACCTCTTTTTCTCGCAGGATTACGATGCCACTGTGACATTTGTGGAGAAACAAACAACACTTGTGAAACAGACGGATACTGTTTTGCAAGCACGACTTTGGACAAGGATGTCATTACTTACGCATATAGGTAAAACTGCTGTTTCAATATAACGCCATTTAATCGAATAATAATTTAATTTATAGTTGTTTTTTTTTATATTTGGCACAGGAGAATTGTTCTTTCGTATTATCATGTTCCATTTTCGTTTAAAGTTTAGTTTTGTAATTTTCATTTTCTCGGAGTCAATCTTCGATCCTCCCTCTCGGCATAAAGTCAAACGATTGGAAAATCCTTATAAACTAAAAAACGAAATAAAAAACAATACTATATAAAAAATGATCGTTTTTAGTTCCTATCGCTTGATCTAGAATGAGAAGAACGAGATCTTTTGCACATATAACGAATATTATCGATCGTTATTATTGTAAAAAGAAAAATTAAGTAGCTCCAATGCTCGATCGGAGAAAGGAGATATATTGAGTACATACATACGTATTCGAATTGCGCACATACAAAAGCCACTGGTCAATCTATCAATGCCCACCTATTTACTTAAATAACAAATTTTCTTTCTTTCTTTCATTCTTTTTTTGTTTTAATTTTGTTTCTTCTTGTTTCTTATTTTTTTTTTTTTGTTTTTTTTTTCGTTTAACAATATTCATCTATTTTTATCGTCAAATTAATAGTCGATAACTCCACGCGATAGATTAACCAACCACTCAATCAATAAACCACGACTAAATCATCATAAAACTGTGTTTTGTGATAGAAGCTTTAGAAACGGAAGGGTACACCCCTAGCATATGTAAGAGAAGGTAAGCTCCAGCCTCGAACTTAGTATAGCCATAGAAGGAAAGTCGTCGCGATCGATTTCTTCTGCTTTGCGCACCGAAAAGACAGAGAATCACTACGAGATGGCTGAATGGGTCTGGCGGGGGGGGGGGGGGGGTTAGCGTGCGAAAGTGAAAGGGGAAGGGAGAAGGTCTCTGGCGCTGGTATGCGTAGTCAAGGGAGGATCGGCTGTTATTAGCGCGCATGTTGTTCGTACGGTGGTTAAACAACAGCGTGCGTTTTTCGTCGCGTGTTCGTCTCGATAGTAACGAGCGATATGCGTGTGTATGCCGCCCACGCGAAAAACTACCCAATGTCGAGTTTTACATGGCTACGCGATTGCGAAGGCGTACGAGAACAATACAGTGGAGAATAGTGGTGGTTATAGGAGGGGAGTAAGAGAGAGAGAGAGAGAGAGAGAGAGATAGAGAGAGAGAGAGAAATATTTTTTCCAATATTTAGCCCTCCGCTTCGTATTTTATAGTCTCATATATATAATCTTCTTTCTCCTTCTTTTTTCTTCATCTTTTTCTTAGCAGTACTTTTAAAAATATCATCATAGAAATAGAGAGATATAGATGCAAGATATAGTAACGATTATTCCTTTGCTCGTCATTTTTCAATAATTTTATCTGTTTAAATTTGTTTATTTAGAAATAGATAAAGTTTTAAAACAATAAAGTATATTTTATACTTTCGATAAACATAGTTTATCATTGAATACGACAGTTTCACTTTTTGTAACAGAAGAGCTCTTTATTAGATATGTATCTTATGATAAAAGCTAAGTCTTCGTACGTAATGTCTTTTCGATAATTCTATATATTTATATATATATTTATATATTTATATATATATATATATATATATATATAAACATATTTATTTAACATAAATAATAAAATGATATTTTTATTAGAATACAATAGAAACATTTGGAATTACATTTCAGTTATTGACTAAATTATTCGAGGAAAGGCATTCTAAATTCATTTCAATTATTCAACAATTGTATATTTTATATTTCAAGTTATATTTACTTATACTTATTTATGTCTATTATAATGCTATTATGATATTATTATGATACTTTTCCGATATGTAGTGACGCGACTGTGTACGCAATTTTACATAAAAATTTCACAATACCAATCGATTATAAAATATTTTTATACAAAAAAAATTCTTGTGAACTTAAGAATTTAATATATATTATTTTCTCTTTGCAGTAATATTCGTAAAATTTTTATCAAATTTCATATTGACAAATATTAAGTATTACAAATGACAGACATGTTCCGATAGAATTAATTGCAATTAATCATTCATTTTCACTTTCATTAGCTTAAACATCAATTTATTCCTAAAATAAAAGTGCGAATAAAATTAATTTTATCATAAGTAATAACATAATAACATTTGTTGAAATTGACATATATAATATAAGGTATATAATAATAATGATGATTTAGTTATTACAAATCTGTGGTATTGCATTAATCGTTATATGAACACTAGAGCATTTTTACATAAATAACAATTAAATTATGACGCCATTAAATATTAATGTCTTGAAAATAATTATATTTCGTTGTTAAATGCAGTAATGTAATCATAAATGTTTATTGAACACCAAAATTCGTAGAGTGTTTAAATAGAATATCGTTTGTTCTAATAATAACCGATTCGATTCGATGACCGATGCTCGACTCCAACTTGATAATGTAATTAAATTTCATAAATTATGGGCTTTATCGTATAAAAATATATTGTTTGCTATTAATCTTGTACTTGAATTCGAGCTTCTTCACTTAAGATTGTAATTTTTATTCTTAGTTAATGTAATTTCACAGAAGTAGTATTAGTTAGACTTATGCAGGAAAAATTTGATATTAAATTTTTTCTCAAAACTTCTCTAGATTAACTGCTATATGATGAAGTTGAAATTACCAGGCATAAGTTAATTATCTTATTATTTGTTTTTTCTTATCAATTATAATTATATAACGCGTATATAATATTTGTACTACTTTATAATATTTCTCTTTCTATTGGTTTTTTTTTTTTTTTTTTTTTTTTTTTTTTTTTTTTATCATGATTATGAAAGTTTTCAAAATGAGATTTGCGTTGTTTTATTCGATTTTATAATCTTAGCTACAATTGTCATTACCGACATTATCGTTTGTATAAAGAACACTTTAATTAGTCGATTATAAAATTGACAAATTTACAGTTTGTCTTGCTTTCTATTGCTCTTCATAAAAATCCAAAGTCCTTACGAATGGAATAAAAAGCTATAAATACAAATGCTTTCGAAGTATTTACTTCTATAAATTTCATTCAGATTGCATAATAGGGTATTCTCAACAAATACAAAATTTAATTTAATCTGTTAAGAGACTTTCGATTAATATTTTGTATTATCTTTAAAATGACATTGTGAAATATAAAAATCACATTTTATCTAGTTCGGTATAATGGAAGATAAAAAATTTTTACGCGGAGTTTTCGACAGTTTTCGAACATGTAGCTGTTTCTATTTAGGCTACTTGTTTGCCTGCTATTAATAAGAAAAATGCTTTCTCAAGTAATTTTACGAGAAATTTAATTGCACAAGCCTACATACTACTCGTATTAATATTTTAAATAATCTCTAGGCGACACCAACTAAATACGCGTAATCATTAAAAATACTATGTTTGCAAAAATAATGAACGTCAGTACAACTTTCTTCTGTGCCGACGTATTAGAGCGCGAGAAGAGAAGGTTGGATCTGCTTCTCGGCTCTTCATTGGTCCAGCAAAATTGTTCGACACTTGACCCTGGGCCAAAGCCGCAAGGTAGGGAGAATTCTTCGCTCTTCTCTCGAAATAACACCACGTACATCTTTTTATCTCGTTCCCGCTCGCGCCCAACCTCTTCCTATTGCGTGAATTATATAGTTCGTCATTGCGATATCTCTCTCTCTCTCTCTCTCTCTCTCTCTCTCTCGTTCTTTCTTTCGTATTCTCTACTGATATTCGCGAATATCGTATCAGCTCCGCGCCACTTCTCTTCTACGAAATACTTCTATAATTTGATATCAAGCAAGCACGCGATTCCCTGCCAAATCTCTCTGCGCTTGCATTCCCAACGACTTTTTTTTTGTTTTTTTTTGTCTTTTGTACACGCTTTTAATCAAAGTAAAAAATTAGATAACTTCAGTATCAGTTCAGGGGGATTTCGCGGGTGTGTCATCAATATTCGAAACTTTTTACTGCTTGCTCGTGAAAAAAGAAGACTAACTGAAAATTGCACATGCAGGTGATAAATAATTATCAAAATTCAAGTAATCATGGGTTATTTTGCAATTCTACACATTCTTTAATATGATAATTTAACAATATCCACTGTTAATATCGCCGTCATATATATATATATCGGTATCGTAATCATTAGATAAAGTAATATTATAAAATGTGTCTAAAATTATAGGCGTTTGTGAAATAAAATAAATTGTGAACTAGAATTGGCATAAAGAGATTTTAAAAATTTTTATTATATATTTACATATGAGGGGAGCATTGATCAATCGTTTTAAAGGAAAATCCAGAAGTGAGGATAAATGTTTTTGGATAAAATATAAAAAAAAAAACTTTCGATTCAATATCCCCATAAAATACCTTCGAAATATTAATTTAGTTTTTCATATTTAGAAATAATACTATTGAATAATTATTTATTCATAAATAACATTATAAAGATAAATGAAAAATTGACCAGATAATGTAGCAGACAATATAATTTTAAAATTCTCCTAAGAATTTCAACGAAATTTATCCATATTTATTGCAGGTTTTATTTCTCAGAGTGAAATAACAAGTATTTATCAACATTGTTCGTTTAGAATTTTGAGAAATACTTGGAGCACATAGGTTCAATGACTTATAAGAAATATCTATAACCAACTATGTTCTCAAAAATTGCTTATATAGACGTCCCCTACATTTCTATTATATTAGTATGCATCCATTTTGTAGAAAAAAAATTCTAAATTATCTAAGTTTGTAGCTTTTCGTGAAAGAATTTAAATAATCGCGCATATAAAATGTTCATAAAAATAACTAAAGAAAATATAATTAAGGTTTGAGGATATTATTCCATTAGAATTTTGTATACCAAACGGTTTGTCCATAGATTGTGTTGTAGCTTTATCGTGAAGCTCAATCAGCCTATAAAATACGGGAAAAATAATCAATTTATTATATCGATTGAAA